AAATGGACGTTGGACGTCAAAAAATGAGGAAAAATTGCAACTTTTATTGGTCGCGCGCAACCCTTTCGCACGAAATGGACGTTGGACGTTAAAAACTGAGGAAAAATTGCGACTTTGAAGTGTCCCGCGCAACCCTTACGCACGAAATGGACGTTGGCCGTCAAAAACTGAGGAAAAATTGCGACTTTGAGTTGTCAATCGCAACCCTTACGCACGAAATGGACGTTGTGTGTAAAAGCGTCTGTGTGTCAAAGTGCAAAAGCGTTTGTGTGTAAAAGCGTCTGTGTGTAAAAGCGCCTGTGTGTAAAAGCTTCTGTGTGTAAAAGCGTCTGTGTGTAAAAGCGTCTGTGTGTAAAAGCGCCTGTGTGTAAAAGCTTCTGTGTGTAAAAGCCTCTGTGTGTAAAAGCTTCTGTGTGTAAAAGCCTCTGTGTGTGAAAGCGTTGTGTGTAAAAGTGTCTGTGTGTAAAAGTGTCTGTGTGTAAAAGCGTCTGTGTGTAAAAGCGTCTGTGTGTAAAAGCGTCTGTGTGTAAAAAGCGTCTGTGTGTAAAAAGCGTCTGTGTGTAAAAAGCGTCTGTGTGTAAAAAGCGTCTGTGTGTTAAAAGCGTCTGTGTGTTAAAAGCGTCTGTGTGTTAAAAGCGTCTGTGTGTTAAAAGCGTCTGTGTGTTAAAAGCGTCTGTGTGTTAAAAGCGTCTGTGTGTAAAAAGCGTCTGTGTGTAAAAGCGTCTCTGTGTAAAAGCGTCTGTGTGTAAAAGCGTCTGTGTGGTAAAAGCGTCTGTGTGGTAAAAGCGTCTGTGTGGTAAAAGCGTCTGTGTGTAAAAGCGCCTGTGTGTAAAAGCGCCTGTGTGTAAAAGCGCCTGTGTGTAAAAGCGCCTGTGTGTAAAAGCGCCTGTGTGTAAAAGCGCCTGTGTGTAAAAGCGTCTGTGTGTAAAAGCGCCTGTGTGTAAAAGCGTCTGTGTGTAAAAGCGTCTGTGTGTAAAAGCGTCTGTGTGTAAAAGCGTCTGTGTGTAAAAGCGTCTGTGTGTAAAAGCGTCTGTGTGTAAAAGCGGCTGTGTGTAAAAGCGGCTGTGTGTAAAAGCGGCTGTGTGTAAAAGCGGCTGTGTGTAAAAGCGTCTGTGTGTAAAAGCGTCTGTGTGTAAAAGCGTCTGTGTGTAAAAGCGTTTGTGTGTAAAAACATCTGTGTGTAAAAGCGTCTGTGTGTAAAAGCAACTGTGTGTAAAAGCTTCTGTGTGTAAAAGTGTTTGTATGTAAAAAGTGTTTGTGTGTACAAGCTTCTGTGTGTAAAGCTTCTGTGTGTAAAAGCGTCTGTGTGTAAAAGCGTCTGTGTGTAAAAGTCTCTGTGTGTAAAAGTGTTTGTGTGTAAAATTGTCTGCGGGTAAAAGCCTCTGTGTGTAAAAGTCTCTGTGTGTAAAAGCGTCTGTGTGTAAAAGCGTCTGTGTGTAAAAGCCTCTGTGTGTAAAAGCGTCTGTGTGTAAAAGCGCCTGTGTGTAAAAGCTTCTGTGTGTAAAAGCCTCTGTATGTGAAAGTGTTGTGTGTAAAAGTGTCTGTGTGTAAAAGCGTCTGTGTGTAAAAGCGTCTGTGTGTAAAAGCTTCTGTGTGTAAAAGCGTCTGTGTGTAAAAGCTTCTGTGTGTAAAAGCGTCTGCGTGTAAAAGCTTTTGTGTGTAAAAGCCTCTGTGTGTAAAAGCTTCTGTGTGTAAAAGCATCTGTGTTTAAAAGCTGCGGTGTGTAAAAGCCTCTGTGTGTAAAAGCTTCTGTGTGTAAAAGCGTCTGTGTGTAAAAGCGTTCTGTGTGTAAAAGTCTGTGTAAAAGTCTCTGTGTGTAAAAGCTTCTGTGTGTAAAAGCGTCGCCTGTGTGTAAAAGCTTCTGTGTGTAAAAGCCTCCGTGTGTAAAAGCTTCTGTGTATAAAAGCCTCTGTGTGTAAAAGCTTCTGTGTGTAAAAGCCTCTGTGTGTAAAAGCGTTGTGTGTAAAAGCGTCTGTGTAAAAGGGTCTGTGTGTAAAAGCGTCTGTGTGTAAAAGCGTTTGTGTGTAAAAGCGTCTGTGTGTAAAAGTCTCTGTGTGTAAAAGCTTCTGTGTGTAAAAGCCTCTGTGTGTGAAAGCGCCTGTGTGTAAAAGCGTCTGCGTGTAAAAGTGTCTGTGTGTAAAAGCGTCTGTGTGTAAAAGTGTCTGTGTGTAAAAGCGACTGTGAGTGTGTTTGTGTGTAAAAGCATCTGCCTGTAAAAGCGCCTGTGTATAAAAGCGTCTGCGTGTAAAAGTGTCTGTGTGTAAAAGCGTCTGTGTGTAAAAGTGTCTGTGTGTAAAAGCGTCTGTGAAAGTGTTTGTGTGTAAAAGCGTCTGTGTGTAAAGGAGTCTGTGTGTAAAAGCTTCTGTGTGTAAAAGCGTCTGTGTGTAAAAGCCTCTGTGTAAAAGCCTCTGTGTGTGAAAGTGTTTGTGTGTAAAAGCTTCTGTGTGTAACAGCTTCTGTGTGTGAAAGTGTGTGTGTCTAAAAACATCTGCGTGTAAAAGCGTCTGTGTGTAAAAGCCTATGCGTGTAAAAGTGTCTAGTGTCTGTGTGTAAAGGCGTCTGTGTGTAAAAGCCTATGTGTGTAAAAGTGTCTAGTGTCTGCGTGTAAAACCTTCTGTGTGTAAAAGCTTCTGTGTGTAAAAGCGTCTGTGTGTAAACGCTTCTGTGTGTAAAAGCGTCTGTGTGTAAATGCGTCTGTGTGTAAAAGCGTCTGTGTGCAAAAGCGTCTGCGTGTGAAAAACAATACGAAGGATAGGATGCAAACCAGTGTTTTGTACTTGTAATATATTGTCTTGATACTACTTGTCTCGCCTGCCTAAAATACATCTTTAATATATTGTCTTGCAATATAGTGTCTCAATACTAACAACAGAAGACCCTGCTCTCTCTCTCTCTCTCTCTCTCTCTCTCTCTCTCTCTCTCTCTCTCCCCCTCTCTCTCTCTCTATCTCTCTCTCTCTCTCTCTCTCTCTCTCCCTTTCTCTCTATCTATGTCTCTCTGTGGTTGCAAGACACGTGTCATATGATGCCCTTTACCAAGCAGCACAGTGCATATGCATGGGTTGTCACATGTATCCTCTTCTTAATCAATCTTACTTTTCACAACTTACCCCTCCATAGCTCCTATAAAATTCACCAACCTATCACCGACTATTTTTTACGACTACCATACTCAGAGCTGCTTGAAAAACGTCTTTTTCGCTCTCGGGCCAACCGTCGTCTAGTTTCTGGTTCCTGGCGGACATAGATAGAACTTCCCCTGCCTCTGCCATTTCGTTTTCGTCACGACCATTTGAAGCCTCGTGACTGGGTCGCCTAACTAGCGACGGCCTGCAGCCCACCGATGGGGAACCCCGACCGTTAATCGCAGTCTCAAAGTTGAGCTGCGCTGAAGTAGTAGAGCTCGGCAAGGGTTCTTCCACCTGTACTGCGGCCTCTCTTTGAAAAGTTTCAGGCAGGGCGGGGTATCTCTCCATGCTGCTGTCATCAGTCTGCTCTGTCCTCAAAAAAGCCGGCAAAATGCCGGGAACGGGGCAGTCCCCACAAAGCTCCGAAAAACTGGGCAATTCAGATAACGTTTCATCATCCAACCCATGCTCATGAAGCCAAATATCAAACTGTTGAAAGTCTCCTTCTGCAAGCGCTGACCACCAAAAAGGAAGCTCTCTACTCGCTCCTGCAATTTCCTTCCCTCTTGTTGGGTCATCTGCTCTGTTGCTAAGAGTGTTGAAGTACATCAAATCTAAGTAGGAATCAAGCCCCAACATCCACGGCAAAGATCGGCTCAACTCTTCATTGATGGCCGCACTACTCGAACGCCCTTTTACTAAAGCGCCCAATGCAACCTGAGAGTCAGCTCCAATAAGGTGTCTGCAGCTAGGACGTCGCAAGCCCAAGAGTTTCTCAGTACGCAGAACACCTCTGACTTCACCTATGTTGATGTGCCGGTTTCCAGTCTTAGCTTTGGCAAAGAGCAGATTGTATTTGAGTCCTTCCGCAAGCCAAGTCCACAGAGGATTACTCTTGAAACATTCATCGTGGTCTGGCAACTCCTCCTCTTCAGGCAGTAAACCATGACTCCTCAGAACCGCTTGGCTAGGTGTCAGTAATCGCACCCAAACAGACTTTCGCAGACAATGCCGTATGAGCTCCTTTCCAATTAGTCGCGGAATGCGGCTAAACACTCCGGCTTCTCCCCAATTCGAGGCGTCTGCGGCTGCAACTAACTCGGGCGTTCTGGCACGTATGTTGGTAGCGGCCATGGGGAGCAAAATGGCCACCAAGAGTAGATCACTCTTGCACCGCCCTGAAAGAAGAAAAATTTCGTCCATCGGTCTTCCCCTGTAAGAGTCAAAGCATGAGTCCAGAAGGCAGAGGAGTCTCCGACGGAACAAAAACAATGAAATGATGGCACCCACTATGACTTGCATTAAATCTCCACTGCAATGACCAATCCTGACAAGCCTCAAGATGATTCCGGCCAGCGGCACTGCTCTCTTAAGCGAGCCCCGAATCAAACCATTTTTTCCGTCAACGTCAGCACCCCAAAAACTGCACTGCAACTCGTCTCTGAACCCCTTTTTGACATTTGGAATGAGCTTGACCTCCTGGTATGCGCTCTGCATTGCTTCAGCCCGCTGAGCTCCTTCGCTTGAACCCTTTTCAAAGACAGATTCCTTCACCTTGCTCATGCTAACGAAATCGTCAATGACTAACCCCACCATGGTCCTAGATCTTGGTACAGGCTTGTACATGGTTGTGAGGCTGTCGGAATCGACAATTCCTTTCTGGAGGGCCAAACCAAGGTGACAGCTTTGAGCGAGTTCAACTGCTTGGCAATCGCCCATGGCAAGAGTGTTCAAAGACCCATAGACAACCTTAGACTGCAGGTGTTCTTGCCGCAACGCTCGCAAACCAGTAAGCTCCTGGGGGTGCATAGGCCCTACCAAAACATTGCGACGGCTCCGGCTCTGGGTTGCTTTGAACAGGTAGTAGAAGTCCCTAAGGTCGTTGCCAGAACAAGCTAAAACCTCATCGTCTTCCAAACTGATCCTACACAAAGTTTCTGCAGACGCCAAACTTTTAATCCACCGCTGCGGTGGAGTCTCCAGCAAATTTGCACCTCTGGAGTCAAGAATCAGCCTGTCTCGATCCAGGTCTTTTGGCACTGCAAACAAACCTGAGCCATATCGAGAGCAAACTTCGTGAGGCAGATGGACACGCAACCTGTCCGAAGCATCAAGCAAAGAAAAGAGCTTTATTTTCTGGTTCCTACTGCAATGAACCCGCATCTTCGGAGGCCGCTCTGAACAAAACTCTGGAGGCTCCCTACACGCAAGTGGGTCATTGAAGATCCTTTTGCTAATAGGGTCCAAATAAGGGCTGGGGTCAAACTCAGGCTTTCCTACAAACGTCAACCTGCTGGCTTCGACTTGCTTGAAGGTGGAAAAGCTCTCAGTGGTCAGCAGCTTGCCTTTTGAGGCCGGGACAGGCACTGGTCGCCCTGGCTTCTCTGCTTGTTGTCGAGACTGGAAATACCCACCTCCAGACTTCGCTAGAGAATGAGCATGCTCATGAAGTTCGGTCAGCATCTCCTCAAGGCTTTCAATCTTTCCAGACGTCCGACCCATGACTTCAGGAGTTATAGGTGAAACTTCGATCCAGGCTTGCAAAAACTTCTCGATTCTTCGAACCGCCTCCCACTGACATCTGCTCAGTTTCCTCCGCCCACCAAAAGCATCGCCCACATGTTTGGATCTATGCAAAAAGAGGTAGTTCAGCCCTATGACAATTGCTACAGTGCCCTTCTTCAGCGTGTTGCGTTTGTCAAAACGTTCCATTGAGCTCTGAAAAACTTCAGGGTACGGCAGAGGGAGAGGAAAAAGTTCTGCAGGGCCCGTCACCTCCTCAGTAGAAGGCGCAAACTGCCAGGCAAGCAAACTTCGTGCAAAAGCACCCAACCGGCACCGACTTCTTAGAAGATGCCGCAATAGGCCTTGCAAAACACCACGTCCAGTAAAGGTAGAGGCATTGCTTCCAGGGACGTGAATTGAATTTGGCCGATCACCCGCCTCCTCCCCAACTGCTTCGGCCAACCCAGTGGGGATCATATCGGAAGCTAGGCATGATTGCTTCCCCCCGCTTCTTGCGAGGAACTCTCTTGGCCCTTTCGACCTTTGTCTCCCTTCTCCCTTGACTTCGCCTTCGGCTTGGGTTTGGGCTGACCGGTCCCGGTCTCTGCTTGATCTTTCTGGGCACCCTTCCCGGAGCCGAGTTTCTTCTTGGCGTCCACAAATGAGTCCACCTCCTTGAGATGCCCCAGAAAGGTCTCCGCCCAGCGATGGTCGTAGAGGACACTGTGCTGCAGCTCGAGCGGGCTCGGAGACTGATGCGTCGCAAAGCTTTGATAAGGAGGTGGAGCTTCCAGCAGGGCCACATTCGACACTACCCAGTTGCCTCCATCGATTGAAGCTTGATCTGCCGCTCCAATCAGTAGGGCACATCTCGCTCTCGCCTCCTCGTGTCTTCCAGCTATGAGACAGTCCCAGATCCCACCGACCTGCCAAGCCCAACGGACATGATTGTGGTAGAGTTGGATTCTGGAGCGGGCAGTCAGCCAGCCCCTCACAGTGGTGCCTGAAGCAAGTGGTTCTCCCGGTTGAATCGGCCGGGCAAGAAAGTCGCTCTGCAAATTGGCCTCCATGATCTGAAAGATGTACTTGGGATCTTCCAACAGGCATTTTTGCAGTGCTCGCATGGCTGCGGCATTCTTCCTCCCAGCTCAAATCGAACTGCTCTCGCTTCCAGCGACTCCACCACTGCCGCCGTCCAGCAAACTGTCGATCTTGTGCTTTTCTTTGGGACCCGCCAGCTTCGCAGCAATTGCAGTAAGTTTCACTATTGCTCGTTCCATGCTGCGCTGCGGGCCAGCACCTTCTTGCTCTCCAGATCCGCCGGAAGGAAGGCCTTCCTCTTCTGCCTCCACATCTTCCTCTTCTTCGCTTTCGCTCAAAGGACCTTGCTTTGTTTTCTGAACAGGCCTCTTCCGGGGCAGCTCTTCTATCCGTCGAGGTTTGCCTTTCAAAATGGATCCCATCTCTTCCAAATGAGCCAAAGGAATTCCCGCCGCCAAAGCTGACTGAACAACTTCTGGTTCTAGGCCTGCAACCTCCTGGGATCCCACTGCGTTGCTCTTGGGAGCCTTGTTGACAGGTGGAGGTGGCAACGGGCGAGCCAAAGTCTTTGGAGAGGCTCCCACACGGGCCCCCAACAACTGCTGAAGCCCTCTCTGCATCCCCTCCAGTGCCAGCTCCAGTTTCTGAAAACGCTCCTCTGACACCCCAGTGAAATTTGGAGGGCATTCTGGAACGTCTTTGGGAATCCCCTCGTCCGCAGTGCTGAAGGAATAGTGAGCTTGAGCAACCTCGACCAGTGCTGGTCCGTAAGGAAAGAGAGGCTCTTCGCCCTCCGGGCTGAAGTGGTAGTGGATCTCGTCCTCTCCCACATAGTCCACATCTCCCTCCATCGCAGGGTGCAGCAAACCAAACCATACCTTAATGTCCACAGCGTCAAAACCCAAAACTTCCCGCTTGTCAGCCTGACAGGCGGCTACAGAGCACAAAAGTGGTTTTGAAATGGCCCTCTGAGGTAGGAGCCGCTTCGCAACTGATCTGTTCCAGACGCCTTCCGGCAGGGCAACAAGCAGCTTTCCGTCTATGTCAGCAACTGCAACCACTGCAGTCAGCAGCCCAAGCTCAGGTAAAGGAAGTCTTCCGACACGGTAAAGGAAATCAGCCGTGCCGTCTTCTTGCGCCACAACAAAATCGCGTGGCCCTAAAGCCACTGGTTCCGGCCCTTCTGAATCGCTGTGAGCACCCCGGTCGGATAAGGCCTCACCATCCAAGCTGGGTTCAGTCATCGCGAGCTAGAAGGCCAAAACAGCCCTGCTCCCGACACTGCAATTGATGCCTCGTGATAAGAAGGGACTCCGATGAAAATCGAATCACCGCAGCTCCCGTCTCTCTTGCAATACCCCTTGACTTCACCAAAAGTCTTCAGCAGCAAAGGTGGATTGTAAACTTTGCGATCAAAATCTCTGACCACAATGTAGACCCTGCTCTGTAGACCCTTGATGCGATCTCGTCCGGATTCTCCTCTGTGCTCACCGTCCAAGCAGCGTTTCAAAAATGCACCAATGTCTCTCGCCACAGCTTCACGCAAAGGCCAAGGATAGGGACCAACCGGATCGGCGGCCTCACAACCAGTCGCGTGTCCAGCTGCTTGACTTCCACCAGGCACTGCAGAAACCCCTGCCGAACTCACAACTTCGAAGGATTGGACTGATGTCCCGACAACGGATTCACTCAGCTCGTTCAACTGATCTCCTTGTCTGTCTACCCTCAATGTCAGGTGCCGTAGCTCCTCACGCAGAAGCTTCACCTCTTCTCGGAGTCTGGCGTTCTCACTTTCTGTTCCAGCTGGTCCAGGTGTTCTGCTCATGCAACCACCTTGTGAAGTGGTCTCGATGTCTCACGTTGAAACTTCGGTCCGCTTCGTTGCTCCCGCGCAAATGCGCGAAAAACCAGTCGCCTCCACTTCAGTCGGGCAAGGCTCACTAGGTCGATGAGAGGTCCCAGCAGGACACCACACCCTAATCCAGCTAAAAAGGTCCACCAGGGCACGTCCTCTAATGCCAGTTCGAACTGGGGACACTGTATGGGCAGTTGCAAGCCAGAAGGTTCGAAGGCCTGCTCGTGGACAAGGTTCCTAAGCAGCGAAAGGATCAGAGTCGAAGCTATCCCGCTAGCCGACCCTACCGCGACTGGCCTGTCCATACAGCTTGAGAGAAGAAGCTGCCCCCACACTCAGTTGACAAAACATGCGAACATATATATATATATATATATACTGTGTGTAATATATATATATATGGCAAACATTGGCAAAGCGCAGTCTTGCATCAAAGGCGCTGTTCATAGTGGATGACCACGGCGGGACAGCACTTGTCACTGGTTGAAAGCACCACTTTGGCCCTGGGTTGTTTGCTTCAATCTAGCTGAGCCACAACGGCTACATTCAGCACTGCTTTTGTGATTCTGTGGAGCCACCGAGCGGCAATATCCACTGCAATCTATCCATGTCCTTAACCCCGCAAGAAACAAACAGTGACTAAAGGGGACGACATCTCTCCCCAAATCTGCTGGCCCCTGCGACCTTCTTCAACTGTCTTGACGTACTCGACCAGCATGCCGCCCTGCAGGAGTAGCACGGATAACAGAATGACAAGCCTCCCATGACAGGCAAACTGCCTCCACATCAATGAAGCGCTGGGTTCTGTCGAGGAAGTCCTGCACTCCCAGAAAAAAGTGGTAAAAGGGCAAGGGGGACTCTGATTGGCGTTGACGCCTTGTGAGTTTGCCAATGAACCTGCATTTTTTTGAATACAAGAAACTGTGATTTAGGAGCACAGGTTTCCGCGATTGGAGAACAGGGGTTTCTGTGATTGGGGAACATGGGTTTCCGTGATCAGGAAACCAAGAAAAGGAAACGGAAGAGCATAAGAATCACTGCTTCAGAATAGTTGGCTTCAAAAAACTAGCATGAGCTAATTGCCAGCCCAACACACAAACATGAAACCATAACAAGCTCAACAACTATCCCTCATTCAAACCAAACGATGGGGTGAAAGTTATCAACAAGTAATCCCCAGAACCCCCCCGCACAAAAAAACAGCAACAATCATGAACACCAACAGAAAAACATAACAACTAACCAACACACGCTCACTGTACTCCCACAAACCCCCAAAAAAACGGCAACTGAGTGGCAGGCCAGTTTTAGAAGGCCCAGCATGGCTGAAGCCTCGTAGTTGCTTCTAAATTGATGTCAGACTGAAAAACGTAACATGAAACACAAGCCAATTCCGTAGAAATCTCTGCTAACGCCCCACCTGGGAAGAGGTGACAGTGTGAAGGCCTTGCTCATTTTCGATGAGCTCTGGAGTCTTCAGTAGCATACCTGTCAAAGCTGGAGACAGTGCAAAATCATCTGAATATGCATGTGTATATATATATATATGAATCCATTAAGGATGAAAGCTGAACCCGCTCTCAAATTTTGGACAGCTGCTGCTGCAAAAAAGGAGACAAGGCTCGCACTGTTCCACTCAGTTGACAGCTCCTCTTCGAACGCAACGGAGAAAACATGGGCAAGCTGGAACGGGAAGACCATGCCTGGCGACTGAAATTACAGGAAGCCAGTGGTTGCTCAACTTCTTGCTGTCCAATTCACACAAGAAGGGTGTGTCTAGGTGTCCATCAAGGTTTTCCTGCAAATTTTGGGCGACTTCAAGTAAAACTTGGCAGCCGAACGCAAGTGATAGTGGAAAACACGGGGGTTGTGCCGGTCAAAGCCTTGTCATGGATTTCAACTGTGGAAGACCTTCGGGTGATATTATATTATGTATCCATCTATCTATCTATCTATCTATATATATATGTATATATATATATACATTCTAGTGTGTATACATATCGTGTATATATATATATATCACTATAACTATATTTTATATATAATTGTCTTATTGTATATTTATATACTTTATATATATTGTGATTTTACCATGCTCTGTTACAGTAGCTCGATTTTAGGCAGGATTTAAAATGGTGCACGAAGAATTGAAGAGAAAAAACACGATATGGTGCACGAAAAAAAGGAGAAGAAAAACACGATAAGGTGCACGAAAGGAAAAAAAACAGAAAAAAAGAAACATTTTAAAACCAAATGATATGGTGCACGAAAGAATGCAAAAAAAAGAGCACGATTTGGTGCACGAAGAAATGCTGAAAAAAATGGTGCACGAATATTTAAAAAATAAAACATGTCATGGGTGCTGCATGAGAAAATGCCAAAAAAAAATATGGTGCCAAAAATTGTGCTATAAATTGTGGGTTTACTTGTAAAATATATAGCAAAAAAAAAAAGGACGATTTGAAGCACCATTTGGAGCACGATGGATTTAGATCTTCTTTCTATGCCAATCCAGAGGTTGGCGCAAGCAAAGAACAAATTTGCGGCGCTAAGCCAAGAAAAGCGCACATCTTGAAATTGTGATGTGTGATGATGTGTGATGTGTGACAACCAGAAATTACTACAGTTGAGCTGGATGGACAGGCTTTGTAGTCCACGGTTTCCTGCATGTTCCCAAACTGCCGTAATCCTCCTATGAAAAAAAAAAACGTGATTTCACGGTGCACCATTTGAAAAATGTGGGGGTCTGTTTAGTAAGAAAACCATTTACTGACTGCCACAGAGAATTGGAAAAGCAATATATATATAATATTATATCATACTAAATCATAATATATTATATTATATCATATTATATGTTCTATTGTATTGTATTATTCTGTATTATATTTTATATTGTATTAAATTATGGTAAATATTGTATTATATATTATATTGTGTCATATGATATTATATCAAATTAAACTATATGATATCATATTATATTATATTGTATTATATTATATCATAATTTGTATTATATTATATTTTATATTTTGTATTATGTCAAATTATATTATTCTATATTATATTAAATTACATTATAATATATATATATATATATTATGTATGTATTTTATGAACAAATATATATATATATAGTTTTTTGTATCTATCCATCCATCTATCTACCAGTATTATAGTATTATATATTTATATATACATATGCACACACATACATGCAACCAGCCCTTCAGCATCTTCAGCTGGGCTCACAGCTTCCATGGATACTCTGATGCAAGTGCTCATTGGAATACAGCAGAAAACTGTCTGGCTCAGTAAACTGGCAACCTCAACTCATGTAGAACGTGAGACTGTATGGTTCCGTGTGATTCCTATATCATCAGTCTAATCGGTCCGTATCATTCCATCCCTGCAGTCACTGGAAATCAACGAGCTCTATCTGTGAGAAGTGCGGCGATATGCGGCGATGCCAAGCACGTTGCCTTGAACCTGAGGCCAACACACTGTTGGGCAACCTGAAGCATCGTCACGAACACAGTCAGGGACTTCAACAAATCCAACATACTCAGACTGTTTCCTGGAATGGAATGCATGCTGCTGATCTAAACTTTTACCTGTTGAAATCCTGGGAATCTTGACTTCCCGGTAGAGTCTGAGCTCATCCTTGATGTGCATCACCAAAGGCCTCAACATCAAGTGCAAATTGAATCAAACTGACTGAAGGCAAGGCGTGTAGCCACTGCAAGCATCTGGCGATGCTGATATGATGGCGCGCTCGTCTGCGGTTGCTGGGTCCTGAGGGCACTATTGTTTGGCGTATGAGCTGAGGACGGCCGCCAATCAAAGTTGCTACACCGTGATATGTTCCAAATCCATATGCGGTGTTCAATGTGTTTCCCATCTATTGCATTTGGGACTGTTGAAAGATGCTGTGCCATGGTGCAACGTTCTGGCACTTCACAGCTATCTCCGAGCTTGCCACTGCCAACTCATCCATTAATTTGGTCAACTCCACCTGGCTGAGAACAGCCAGGTCCAGAAAGAAGTTGCAGTTGAACCATAATTAATATCCTGGAACCCTTCCTCCCACACAAAATCCCAGCGAAACTGTGACCAAACCCTTTCACGAAAATCCAGCGAGCCTCTGCTCCCAGAAAGTCAGCACCCTCGACCAGCACCTGTAGCCTTGCCAAGGAACCCTTGGAGGCCTGGCAGGTGCCGGTGCTATTCGGTGCAACAGTCTGTTGACAATCAGAAAAATACACTGGTGCAGCCATGTGCAGCCTGTGAAAGGCCATCATCGCCAGGAAGTCCAGCCAAATAATAACTGCGGCAGCTCCGGGAACTTTGACCTCTAAGCAAGAAGTCCTGGCCGTGGCACAACACCGGGGTTGTGAATTCAGTTGCAGCGGATTGCAGCGGTCTCTTGGCTTAATTTGAGTTGTCTCTTGGATTAAAAAAATGAAAGGTTGCAATTCATGAACTCGCAAATGGCATCACCCCTCCAAATTTATGTGCGGCCAGGTCCTCTTGGGAATCCGTTTCCTTGAAGCCCAACTGTCACAGCGGGAAAGCGAGCAGCATGAAGCAATGGCAGCCCCGCAAACAAACAACATCACGTCATAACGTTGTCAGTTGCGTCTTTTTGCATGGCCGACTCCCAGGCCTCTTTGGAATCATTTGGGCAACTGCACTCATCACTTGGAATGCCTGTGACTCGGTTTTTTGATGAACGAATTCCACATCACATCTGCCACGTTTGGTTTTGTTGTTTTTCATTTTACATCATTTTACCTTCCGCTTCATTCTGTCAAGGAACTGGTGGAACCAGCGCTACGCACTGTGTAAGAAGCCTGCGGGGCGCAGGGTGAACCAGGCAAATTGACATTCCTTTGGATCCCAGAGTTTGCAAGTCTAAGGATGGAACATCTTCGCCCACTTGGAAACAATCACCGTGCTTCGAGGAATAGTATTCTTGACACCAACCATTGCAGCAACAGTAAAAGGGTGACTTTGCTGTTGTGAAATTCATCCAAGGAAGGAAGGAACGCCTTCGACGGTGTTAACGGGAACTCCTCGTTGGCGTCTACTTCCTCCGGCACCTGCGGGCATCAGAGCAAACGGAGAAAAAAACATGTGGCGAAAACACATGACAACACATGACAAAACCGATTTTTGTCCATTCTGCGGCCTGGCATGAGCATTGGGCACCTGAGAAACAACCAAGTCCACATGTATTTGTAAACAATCATGAACAACTCAAATGTGTTCTACGGCGGCGGTAGCTTGAAAGTGCTCAGATTGCCACCCATTGGAATCTAAAACTATGCTGCTGGCCGTCCCCCCTATAGCGGCTAGCCCAGCCCGTGGCAGCGGCACGACAAGGCATCGCACATGACAAGTCCGCATTTCTTGCCTCGCACCCAAACCCAATGCGTAAAAGACTACCGAAACCCTACCACGCGGAATAGGTTTGAATGTGGACCTAGCTGTTGCCCCCATGGCAACTAAAGGATTGCTTTTGCTTATTCAAAGCAACCGTAATCACATTCCCAATGCCTGGCAATAAATGCCTGCTTAATTCTGTTTCGGACTGGAAATGCCTTGTGTACATTTTGGGTGGTAATCAAATATGCTTCCCGGTACCAAATTGCAAAACATTGGCCCAATGCAACACGGATCAGGAGGGCGTCAACATATCACAAAGGATTAGCAAAACATCAACACAGGCCGTCAAGAGCCCGGACGCGGATGCAAATGGGTGGTGAAAGGTGGTTAGTTCGATGGGTCAAACGTTCCTGTTTGACACAAATTTGGTTTGTACCCCCTCAAAATGAGGGGGTCTGGGTAGGGAACCCCATTTTATAAGTATGAACTGTTGATCCATGGCTAAAATCCACAAAATAGAAAAGAGACCCGCGAGTTTGGTTATAAAAAACTGGCAACATTTTCGCCTGTACAAAATTAGCATCAATGAAGTCTTGATTATCAATGTTTAAAAAATGGAGGACAGAAAAAAATACTTCACTTCGAATGATCTCCACCATGGCATTTATACATTTTCTTACTGGCACATCTTCTGACATTCTATCTGACATATCTTCTGGCATTCTATCTGGCATTCTATCTGGCATATCTTCTGGCATGTGTTCCGGCATACCTTCTGGCATTCTATCTGGCAAATCTTCTGGCATTCTATCTGAAATATCTTCTGGCATTCTATCTGGCATTCTATCTGGCATTCTATCTGGCATTCTATCTGGCATATTTTCTGGCATATCTTCTGGCATTCTATCTGGCAAATCTTCTGGTATTCTATCTGGCATATCTTCTGGCATTCTATCTGACATATCTTCTGGCATTCTATCTGAAATTCCATCTGGCATATCTTCTGGCATTCTATCTGGCCGTTGAGGTCCGGCAGTGCCCACTGGGATCTGGAGCTCGTGGTTGGGGTCCGGCAGTGCCCACTGCGACCTGGAGCTCGTGGTTGAGGTCCGGCGGCAGTGCCCACTGCGACCTGGAAGTCGCGGTTGAGGTCCGGCAGTGCCCACTGCGATCTGGAGCTCGCGGTGGAGGTCCGGCAGTGCCCACTGGGATCTGGAGCTCGCGGTGGAGGTCCGGCAGTGCCCACTGGGATCTGGAGCTCGCGGTGGAGGTCCGGCTGTGCCCACTGGGATCTGGACTGCGAGGAGGAGGACGAGGAGGAGATGGAGGAGGAGGAGGAGAACAGCTCTGATAAAATCTAACAACCCTCACCTGGCAGGTGGGGAAAAAACAATTGATAAGAATAAAAATTGATTCTCCAGCCTCTGCAATCACTTATTTATCATTTTTTAATTTATATTTTGCCAAGGGCAAAAAGGTGTCTGAACCATGTGGCAGACGTTGGGCCATTGCAGCATGGGCTGGGTTCTTTCGAGGTGGTGATCTTGCGCAGTTTTGCTAGCGCGTGGTTTTGGGCACGGTGCGTAGCAGAACGCGTCGCTCTTTGGAATGCGTCGCTCTTCAGGTAGTCCTGCTTGTGAGAAGTGACAATGACTTGTTTTCTTGGCAGCCGCATCTGCCCAATGGTGAAACCATGCGTGAGTCTGGGAAGCACCCTCAGGAGTACGGTAGTTGACGTGCCCACGGATGCAAACAAGCACCGTTTCTGCGCCAAACGGGCGGCCGTGTGCGAGGCAACTGTTAAACACAACTTGTACGGTTCCAAACAAGTTGTGTTTCCATGCACTTGAAATGAGAAAATCGGGTGAAAAACGCAATGAATGTCTGACACGATTTCTGAACAACTTAACAAGAACCTCATCCGCACGGAACAAAACTGACTTGATAGATAACACGTTGCCCTATTAATGACACGTGTCACTGATATTGATCTTGTGTTGGATTTAGGAACCACAGTTCCAAGGTGCTTAGGGCACATTGCGTTTACATGCGTTTACTATGTTGGTTGCAAAAGGCATTGGCCGAGGAAGTTTGGAAGTCAAACTTCCGACAATATGGACAGATGGCAAAACAGAGGTGGGAAGAGTTAGAGAAGATTAGAGAAGAGAGGAGAAGAGAAGAGAAGAGAAGAGAAGAGGAGAAGAGAAGAGAAGAGAAGAGGAGAAGAGAAGAGAAGAGAAGAGGAGAGAAGAAGAGAGAAGAAGAGAGAAGAAGAGAGAAGAAGAGAGAAGGAAGAAGGAAGAAGGAAGAAGGAAGAAGGAAGAAGGAAGAAGGAAGAAGGAAGAAGGAAGAAGGAAGAAGGAAGAAGCAAGAAGCAAGAAGGAAGAAGGAAGAAGGAAGAAGCAAGAAGCAAGAAGCAAGAAGCAAGAAGCAAGAAGCAAGAAGCAAGAAGCAAGAAGCAAGAAGCAAGAAGCAAGAAGCAAGAAGCAAGAAGCAAGAAGCGAGAAGCGAGAAGCGAGAAGCGAGAAGCGAGAAAAGCGAGAAGCGCAAGAAGCAAGAAGCGCAAGAAGCAAGAAGCGCAAGAAGCGCAAGAAGCAAGAAGCGCAAGAAGCAAGAAGCAAAAAAAACAGAGAAGAGAAGAGAAGAGAAGAGAAGGGAAGGGAAGAGGAAGAGAAGAGAAGAGAAGAGAAGAGAAGAGAAGAGAAGAGAAGGGAAGAGAAGAGAAGAGAAGAGAAGAAGCAAGAAAATTTTTAGAAGAGAAGAGAAGAGAAGAAGCAAGAAAATCAGAGAAGAGAAGAGAAGAGAAGAAGCAAGAAAATCAGAGAAGAGAAGAGAAGAAGCAAGAAAATCAGAGAAGAGAAAGAATCAGAAGAAAGAAGATACAAGCGTGCGAAAAAGCAGAAAAGTCGCGAATCACTGTGTTTTGCCAATGTTTTGGGGCTACAAAGGGTCGAAAAGTATCGAAAAGTAGGCTCGCTGAAGCGGCGGGTGCGGAGCCGTCTGGGGAGATGAGATGAAAAATTGCACACAGTTGTGGCTCGAAGCAAATTTCGAAGCCAAGACGTACAAAACACATCATTCTCGGAGCACTTTTGGAAGTTGCGATGTCGAAAAAGTGCACGCCGTTGTGGCGCGAAGCACACTTCCAAGTCAACATGTACAAAACACAGCAGCTTCGGAGCACTTTTGGAAGTTGAGATGACGAAAAAACGTACGCCGTTGTGGCCACGTTTCCAAGGTAAAATTTACAAAACACACCATTCTCGGAGCACTTTTGGAAGTCAAGATGTCGAAAAAGTGCACAGCGTTGTGGCGCGAAGCACATTTGGAAGTGAAAAGTGTAAAAAAGTGACGGTCTCGGACCAGTTTTTGGAAGTGAGGATGCGTTTTTTTGCGTGGCGTGCGCAAGGGATTCCGCACCTTACCAAAGGTGAGCAAAACGTGATGGTTTTGTAGCAGTTACCAAAACATTTCCAGCATTTGAAGAAGATCTGCAAAGATGCATTGCGCGTGGCAGGCGCGGTACAAGAGACATATTCATCAGAGATGTTAGGAGGTCAGGGCGCTGATTTCCTGAGAGGGGTCTTCGTTCCATGATCTCTGGTCTTCGGAATATCTGACTTGTGGGAATCTCTGAAGAATTCTTGGGATCTCTGCGGATCTGTTCTTGGGACTTTTGGGGATCCGGGCGCCTAAGGATCTCTGCAAATCCCGGGCGTCACGGCAGGAGACAAGACAGAATCGCATTTGGTAAAACACAACTGCATTTGTCATTGCACTATTGCATACGTGGAAGAAGAAACCACGAGGTCGTAAGCCAAGAATTCTAGCCCAAGTGGTTTGCAATACGTTTAAAGGCATACATGCTATTTTTTCATGATAATAAGGATCAATATGTAATGAAAGGTGTATGAACACAGAGATTCAGACATGATATGCCAAAAACACTGCGAATTTCTGGGTCATCATCGGCTGCACCATTTTCTCCTTCTTGTCGAATGATGCGATGTCTTCTCGTCTCAGCTTCTTCGCTTCGATCGGCACCTTCCACTGGAGTCACCTCAAAAGCACTCTCAGACACAGTCTTATCCTCATCCACATTGTTCTTTTCTTCTTCGCCTTCTTCTGCAAATGAGTTTCCTTTCGATTCCAAGCTAAATGGGTCTGCTTGTTGTGAGCTGATTCTCGGACTGTTTTCCAAACTGCCTTGTACTTGTCCAATGCTTCCATCTTTATCGTCAGCTTGTAAAAAAGTTTCCCCACCAAAACCATCAGCACGCAAATCACCACCATCGCAATTTTCAAACTCCATGATGTGGTTTCCAGTCCATCTTGAACCTCTCCACATCCTTGTAGATTGCTTGCCATGATCATATTGACCAAAAGTTTCACCAGCGTAGTTGGCATCGCTCTCATCAAAGTTTTCGCTCATCAAACCTATTCGTTTCATCAGGAATTCGCGTCTCTCCTTTGACAAAGCCTTTGTATTCAAGTCAGCCAGGTTCTCTTTGGTCGAGATGCGGTCAATGTGGAAACATTGTTTTCTCTTAGCTTGTTGTGTCCACAAAAATATGATTGAAAGGCGTTTCGCCTTTCCAGGACCCCATCGCGCAAAGAAAGACTGAGCGCTTGTTGAATCCAGCCGCAATCTCATCATCACATGCTCTTGATTTCCCAAGCTACCAAAGTCACCCACAAGGAACTGTAACGCCTGCTGCACATAGATCGTTTCAGCGAGCAAACTCGTAGCCCGTAGCTGCCAGAATCTCAGCTTCCATTGAACTCAAAGAAACAAAAGTGTGGAATCTGGAGTGACTGTGGATCAAGCAAGAGTTGAGGAAAATCAAACCTGAGCTTGCACTCCTCCGACTCACCTTGCGAGAGGCCCAATCACTGTCCCTGAACAACTCCAGCACGTAGGGTT